AAAGGTAAAATGTAATAGAAAGCTATGCTGTTACAATATATTTTCATTTTTCAGTGTTGAAACATATGGGAGAAAAACCAAGTTCTGATATAGTGTACTATATTTAAGTAACATTAGCTATAGTAAAGCAATTTCGTTCCACTTCTTTCTGAGCTCCTGTGAACTTTGCTCTCTTTTTGGTTGTTGTTGTTCACATTTAGTGTTATCCGGTTACATAACTGTTCCCCTTAATACATTTATTTCCAAGGTGAACAAAGCTCAAGTGATTACATTTATCCTAATCACTAGGGTGATCAGTTTCTAATAATATTTAGAAAAGAGGCTGTGTAGTTTTAATTACTGTCGCTTTTTCTATCAATTGACTAGACTGTATGTGAGAAACTCTTTTTACAAATGTGAGATTCTAACAGACAAGGGTTAAAGTTGCAGGAAATGAGAAAACATGACTACTCTTTTCTTTAAAAAGTATTACTGTCCTCCAAGGGTAGAATCTTGAGGTGGGCCCATAAGTGATTGTGGAGACSTATTCTGGATCCACGTGGTCTTTCTCGGTGTATCACTGACAACRTGGTCCCGACAAGGGGTTGGCTTGAGGTATCTTCTTYCTCTTGGCACATTTTCTCCTTTCACCCTYTATCTGTGTCTCTTTAAAATCCACAGCACTGTTGGTAACAGCTGACCGCCAGTAAGTGATTGTGGAGGCCTATTCTGGATCCATGTGGTCTTTCTYGGTGTATCACTGACAACATGATCCTGACAAGGGTTGGCTTGAGGTATCTTCTTYCTCTTGGCACATTTTCTCCTTTCACCCTCTATCTGTGTCTCTTTAAAATCCACAGCACTGTTGGTAACAGCTGACCTCCAGTAAGTGATTGTGGAGACCTATTCTGGATCCATGTGGTCTTTCTCAGTGTATCACTGACAACATGATSCCGACAAGGGTTGGCTTGAGGTATCTTCTTCCTCTTGGCACATTTTCTCYTTTCACCCTTTATCTGTGTCCCTTTAAAATCCACAGCATTGTTGGTAACAGCTGACCTCCAGTAAGTGATTGTGGAGACCTATTCTGGATCCATGTTGTCTTTCTCAGTGTATCAYTGACAAYGTGGTCCCGACAAGGGTTGGCTTGAGGTATCTTCTTCCTCTTGGCACATTTTCTCCTTTCACCCTCTATTTGTGTCTCTTTAAAATCCACAGCACTGTTGGTAACAGCTGACCTCCAGTTAGGCCAGAGCTTCCCAGTTCTTGGTATTTATTCTACATTTTTTAGATTACCTTTAAGCCTATCTTTAAATTTCTTTTGCTGTCAATCAACATTCAATTTTCCGTTCCTGGGCTTAGTAACTGCTTTGGGAAACAGCAATCAGGCATTTGGACAACGTGGTTAGTCCAACGGAGGATCACTGCTTCAATGCTGATGGTCTTGGCTTCTTCCAGAATGCTGACATTTGTCTGTCTGTCTTGCCAAGAGATTTGCAGGATTTTTCAAAGGCAAGTCAAATGTCAAGTGTGGTATTTGTAGATGGCCCATGTTTTACAGTTATACAACAGAGTTAGAAGGATAATAACTTTATAACTGAGCATCTTGGTATCTCTACAAATGTCCTGATTCTCAAACACTCTCTGCTTCATTTGACAAAATGCTGTGCTTGCAGAGCTCAGGTGGTGTTGTATTTCAGTGCTGATGTTGCCTTTTGTGCAGCAGCCTACAAACAATACATTACTGATGTACCTGATTTGCCAAAAAGTTTAATCAAATAAAGTCTTCAAGACTACAACACAATTTCACAAAAGTTCAAATCAATAAGGAAAATGAGAATTGTTTTATAGTCAAGCCCTTTATGAAGTTTCTTGAGACAGCCGGCACTGGCAAAACTCTTTTTCGAAGTATTCAAACAAGATGATGATAGATTGCATACTTCTTACAACATTCAGTTGGTACAATACACAGATTGGTAATTCAGATAACTGGAAATTATTTGGGAAGAACGAATTCTACTGGCTATAACTGAGGTAATACACACTATACTATGCATGCCAGTAGACATTACCAAGAAAATTTCTTTGAGCAACAGTACAATGCCAAGAAGAATTGATGAAATGGCTCAAGATGTTGAAGACTCATTATGTGAGTATTTAAAAACAGCCCAGTTCTCTTTGTAGCTTGATGAGTCAACTTTACAAGGAAATGAAGCCATATTTCAGCATGCAATTCATAAAAGAAGAAAAGTTGCCAAGAATTATTATTTGCTAAAAATGTGCAAACTGATACTATTTTATGCACTGGAAGAGTTTTTTTAAAAAACAAAAAGAAATCCCTCAGGGTAATATCTTGTTAGTTTCCACTGATGGTTCTCAAGTGATGACAGGCTGCTACAGAGGTATTTCTGCACACACACACACACACACACACACACACACATATATATATAAGTACTGAATGTGTACATTGTACATGTATACTGTGTCATAGCCAACATTCAGTTGCCAAAAATCTGAGAGAATGTCTATATAGATTATTACATTTTGTCATTAAAGTAATCAACAATATCAGAAGCAATTCACTGAAAGACATTGTTTTGATAGTTTTGTCTGGAAAACAATGAAGAATCAAGTCCTTTGGTGCTTCATACAGAATTTTGTTGCCTATCCAAAGGTGCCTGTTTGGATAGGTTTTATAAATTCTTTGACCCAATTCTAGATTCCTAGAAAACAAATATAACGCTTTACAAGACAACTTGATTGATTAAAAAAGTAGCTTGTTTGAGAGACTTGTTTACTAAATTTAATGAAACAAATCTGCAGCTCCGGTGTGATGAGTGGAATTTAATCAAAACAATAACTGTTATTTATTGTTTAATCCAAACAATAACTTCTTTCATACAAACTAAATTTAGAATGAGGGGAACTCAGCTAGTTTTCAAAGTTATCAACAGCAGAAAAAACATGATGAAGATTTGCTTACTCTTTGTCAGCACTTGGAATTATAGAATCATACAGTTGGGAAAGACCACATCCAGTTCAAACCCATCTCACAGGAAAATACAGCGAAAGCACGCCCAACAGATGACCATCCAGCCTCTGCTTAAAAACTTCAAAAGAAGAAGGCACACTCCAAGGTGGCATATTCCATTGCCCAACCACTCTAACTATCAAGACGTTTTTTCCTAAAATGTAGGTGGAATCTCTTTTTTTGCAATTTAAATCCATTGCTCTGTCTTTTGGTATCTCCAGAGAAGCAGAAAACAATCCTGGTCCCTTCTCAATGCGACATCCTTTCAAACATTTAAACATGGTTACCAGGCCACCTCTCAGCCTTCTTTTCTCCAAGCTAAACAGAGCCGACTCCCTCCACCATTCCTCATAAGGTATGGCTTGTTATGTCTTCTCTTGCTGGTTGTAGAGCATCTCCACACTTTCTATTTTTAACACAATTCACCAATTTACCTGAGACATACATCCATCTAACTGGCCTTGGGTGTTACACTGGCTGCTCTTCAGTGCTCCAGTAAAGAGGCTTATTTTGGCTATATGTGACATATTTTAGTAGGACTGAACAACATGAAGACACACTACAATAAAAAAAATGGGTAGTTCACCTGTATTTTCAGCAGATGCAAAGTATTCATTCAACTTATCCACAATCTCCTTTTCCTCCTTTAGATCTCTTTTAATTTTATTATGAACGAATGATCTAGCCATCTCTATGGACGGCTTCCCACACCTTATACCAGGGATCCTCAAACTAAGGCCTGGGGCCCGGATGCGACCCTCCAAGCTCATTTACCCGGCCCTCGCTCAGGGTCAACCTAAATCTGAAATTATTTGAAAGCACACAACAACAACAATCCTATCTCATCAGCCAAAAGCAGGCCCACACTTCCCATTGAAATACCAATAAGTTTATATTTGTCAAAATTGTTATTAATTTTAATTATTGTATTGTTTTTATGTGTTTTTTGCACTACAAATAAGATATGTGCACTGTGCATATGAATTCATTCATTTTTTTCAAATTATAATCCAGCCCTCCAACAGTTTGAGGGCTGTGACCTGGCCCTCTGTTTAAAAAGTTTGTGGACCCTTGCCTTATACACTCAAATAATAATGTATTGTTTCTCTTTATGCTTTTTGCTCTACACTCCTTTGTTTGCATTGTTCATGTTCTCCTTGCAGTTCATTTGTTCACTGTAATTTATCTCAATTGGGCAAGACTTTCATTTTTCTGGAGGAAATCTATATATCTCCTACAGCTTCCTTTACATTAATTGATAGCCATGCTGCTTACCTTTTGGATTTACTACTTTCCTGACCTGTAGCATGTTTTCATTTTAAACTTTAAGAATGCTAGTAGTAAATATCTTCTTGCTTTGAATTGCATTCAAGCTTTGAGATATGGACAAGGCATTGCAATATTTTACCACCTGAGGTTAGGAAAGTGGTTTGGAATGCTAACCACTCCATTGATAAGGACAAGTTTGTTGAGCGTTGGCTATGACTTAAACAGATTACTGAATCATGGCAAATCATTTGACATAATGAAGGAGAATTAATATTGGATTCATTGTCCTTTGGGTCTTGTATCTGCTCGGCATTTGAGACACAGCCCTTGAATTGTTCAATGCTTTCCACCTGGACAATCAACCAGGAAACATTGACAACAAACCAGTCCTTCTTAACTGGGGAGCAGATTTTGTAGATATCATAAGACTGAAATTTCATCATATCCAGCCAGGCTGACCAATTAGGTGATTAGGAAACATGAATTATAGTTTAGCATCTGGGAGAAGGCTAAAATTCACAGTTTTTTAATACCAGAGTTTTCAAACTGTCCTCCTCCAGATGTTTTGGACTTCCGCTCCCACAGTTCTTAACAGTTAGTAAGCTGGCTGTGATTTCTGGGAGCTGAAGTCCAAAACACCTGGAGTACAGTTTGAGAAACACTAGTTATATTAATAACCTGCTACTTATAGCATGGCAAAATGATACAATGCTCTGCATTTTCTTTTGTGTTTTCAATTCAGTCGTATTTGCTAGGTTGGACAATGGTCAACATGTTCTACAAGCCCCACCTTTAAGTAACATTTTCCAAACCGATAAAGCAAGATAAACAGCACTCACCAGTCCACTTTTTCCAAGTTCCATTTCGACTATCACTACAGGACTGCTTAATTGGTCAATATTTCTTGACTGAGACTTGAAATCTACTCTCCAGCTTAAGTTTCTGAGTGTATTTTCCCATTTACTTTGATTTATCAAGTTGTCTCGGATTTTCATTCTGTGGTTCCTCCAAAATTTTGCAATAGCTGCAGCTTGATCACTCGTGATGCCTCCTGGTTTCTTTTTCTGTGCCGTCAAAAATGCCTCTAGTTGATTTGAATCCATGTCAGCAGATGCTATCGACTGCAACAAAATGAAAAATTGTACAGAATAAAATTCTCTACCATCCCATGTCATATTAGCCACAAAATTCACTTTTGCATCAGAAGGAAACCTTTTATTATTGTCATTGGGAGTTATAGTTTCACAAGGTCTTTAAGTGTTCGCTGCCAGAGTATTTTATCATATTATCATTTTATCTTGTCCATCTGGCCTGCCCTTCCAGTTTGACTTTTATATTGTGTTAATTTGCTTTATTCTTTTGTGTTGCTACTGTAATTATTTTCTGATGTAAGTTTTGTTTTTGCATTCTGTATTGTATTGTGTTGTACTGTATTTTTTGGGCTTGGCCTCATGTTAGCTGCCCTGAGCCCCCTTTGGGGAGATGGTGGCGGGGTATAAATAATAATAATAATAATAATAATAATAATAATAATAATAATAACAACAACAATTATTATTATTATAGTTTCTTGCCAAACTACAACTTCCAGGATTCAGTTTAACAGAGGGCCCTTCCACACAGCCCTATATCCCAGAATATCAAGGCAGACAATCCCACAATATCTGCTTTGAACTGGGTTATCTGAGTCCACACTGCCTTGATATTCTGGGATATAGGGCTGTGTGGCAGTGCCCCCAGTTAACTGCTATGGCTCAATACTATGGAATCCTAGGAGTTGTAGTTTGGGAAGGTAACAGAAGTCTTTGGCAGAGAACCCCAAAAACTTTGTAAAACAATTAATCCATCTACACTGTAGAATGAATACAGTTTGACGCCACTTGAACAGCTATAGATTAATGCTATGCAATCCTAGGAGTTGTAGTTTATATGGTCTTTAGTTTTCTCTTTCAAAGAGTGCTGGCGCCTCACCAAACTCTTTGCAGCTAAAGAGAGAGATTCTACAAGGAGAAGGTTAATTTTCGTTCGTTTCTTCCAACCTCCCCATCCCCTGCCCCTTCCCTTGCGTGTGATAATATCCTTTGTTTGCATTTTTTTTAAAAAAAGCAGAGTTGTATTAATTATTTTAGCAGTTAAAACTGTGCGGAAAATATTGTCTCATCAATTGCAATTTGATCCATATGCTGATGCCCCTTTGACGTAAAGGGATGATCCAGATTTGACAACTGGGAAAGAACCATTTTGATGGAAAGTATCAGTCTACAATGGGATTGTTTCCTGAAATAAGTGCTTGGTGTTGATGGTGTTTTTCCATTTCACTTTTTACAAGAGTACTTCAAACTACCTCTACAGTTAAAGAGGAAATGCTGTTTCTTATATAAAATCATGAACAACTTAAGGAAATATTGGTGAGGGGGTATAAATAATAATAATAATAATAATAATAATAATAATAATAATAATAATAGTTTCTTGCTAAACTACAACTTCCAGGATTCAGTTTAACACCCAGGGCCCTTCCACACAGCCCTATATCCCAGAATATCAATGCAGACAATCCCACAATACCTGCTTTGAACTGGGTTATCTGAGTCCACACTCAGATAATGTGAGATTTTCTGCCTTGATATTTTGGGATATAGGGCTGTGTGGCAGTGCCCCCAGTTAACTGCTATGGCTCAATACTATGGAATCCTAGGAGTTGTAGTTTGGGAAGGTAACAGAAGTCTTTGGCAGAGAACCCCAAAAACTTTGTAAAACAATTAATCCATCTACACTGTAGAATGAATACAGTTTGACGCCACTTGAACAGCTATAGATTAATGCTATGCAATCCTAGGAGTTGTAGTTTATATGGTCTTTAGTTTTCTCTTTCAAAGAGTGCTGGTGCCTCACCAAACTCTTTGCAGCTAAAGAGAGAGATTCTACAAGGAGAAGGTTAATTTTTGTTTGTTTCTTCCAACCTCCCCATCCCCTGCCCCTTCCCTTGCATGTGATAATATCCTTTGTTCGCATTTTTTTTAAAAGCAGAGCTGTGTCAATTATTTTAGCAGTTAAAACTGTGTGAGAAATATTGCCTCATCAATTGCAATTTGATCTATATGCTGATGCCACATTGACGTAAAGGGACGATCCAGATTTGACAACTGGGAAAGAACCATTTTGATGGAAAGTATCAGTCTACAATGGGATTGTTTCCTGAAATAAGTGCTTGGTGTTGATGGTGTTTTTCCATTTCACTTTTTACAAGAGTACTTCAAACTACCTCTACAGTTAAAGAGGAAATGCTGTTTCTTATATAAAATCATGAACAACTTAAGGAAATATTGGTGAGAGTCTGTGGATCTGTAAAACGTAATTGTACACTTCTTGACACACAGCAAATAAAGGTTTGTTTTTTGTATTTGTTTTCCCCAAATATTTTCAAGCTGTGGTTGGTTGATTCTGTGGATGAAGATCCCATGAATATAGAGGGCTAATTTTTATCTACAGCTAAAACATTGGGTTGTTGTAGGTTTTTTCGGGCTATATGGCCATGGTCTAGAGGCATTCTCTCCTGAAGTTTCACCTGCATCTATGGCAAGCATCCTCAGAGGTAGTGAGGTCTGTTGGAACTAGGAAAAAGGGTTTATATATCTGTGGAATGACCAGGGTGGGACAAAGGACTCTTGTCTGCTGGAGCTAGGGGTGAATGTTTCAACTGACCACCTTGATTAGCATATAATGGCCTGACAGTGCCTAGAGCAAACTTTTGTTGAGAGGTGATTAGATGTCCTTGTTTGTTTTCTTTTAAAAAAAGGGAACCACTGACCACATAGGGAAGCTGATGAGGAAACATAACATACAAACTATCTACAGACCCACCAAAAAAATCCAACAAATGCTACATTCAGCAAAGGACAAGAGGGATCCTCTCACTTCTGCAGGAGACTACCGTGTACCATGCAGCTGTGGACAAGTCCTCTCACCTCTGCAGGAGTCTACCGTAGACCATGCAGCTGTGGACAAGTCTACATAGGGACCACCAAACGCAGCGCCCAGACACGCATCAAGGAACATGAAAGGCACTGCAGACTCCTTCAACCAGGGAAATCAGCCATAGCAGAGCACCTGAGGAACCAACCTGGACACAGCATATTATTTGAGAACACAGAAATGCTGGACCACTCTCACAACCACCATGTCAGAATACACAGAGAAGCCACTGAAATACACAAGCATGTGGACAATTTCAACAGAAAGGAGGAAACCATGAAAATGAACAAAATCTGGCTACCAGTATTTAAAAAAACTCTAAAATTACAACAGCACAACAACAGAGAGGAACAAACAAGGACATCTAATCACCTCTCAACGAAAGTTTGCTCCAGGCACTGTCAGGCCATTATATGCTAATCAGGGTGGTCAGTTGAAACATTCACACCTAGCTCCAGCAGACAAGAGTTCTTTGTCTCACCCTGGTCATTCCACAGATATATAAACCTTTTTTCCTAGTTTCAACAGACCTCACTACCTCTAGACCATGGCCATATAGCCCGAAAAAAACCTACAACAACCCAGTGATTCCGGCCATGAAAGCCTTCTACAATGTATTGCTATTGTTTGCTAGAACCCTAGAGGGCCATATAGCCCGAAAAAAACCTACAACAACCCAGTGATTCCGGCCATGAAAGCCTTCGATAATACAGCTAAAACATTTGTTACAATCCAGATTTGACCCCAGAGCTTTTACGAGCATTTGACATTTCTTTACTATTGGAGACATTAATTCAAACCAACCAAGTATTGAAACCATATATACATACATACATACATACATACATACATACATACATACATATATATGAGTTTTACAGTAAGAAATGGAATTGAGAATTGAAATATCCCATTTTCACTCATCATTGACTATCGGTTTTAACACCTATAACTTAGCATGACTATAGATCTCCAAGTACATCTTATATAGTAGAAACTGCTCTTGTAGGAGTCAGGGCTTCTTAAATCAGCAAATTATTGGAGATGTAAGAATGCTAATACTTCCTTAATTAATGTGTTTGGGATTTGTTCCAGAGTAGCTACATTTTGAGAGCACAATAAGCACACAAATGAATTGGGTTTTGTACAATTCCGTGATATTCAGGGATAATTTGCCTATTTCTTGGAAATTAATGAATGGCCAATGAAAATTGATTTTTCCTGTCCCTTTGACTGCTAAAAGATGAATAGTTCATTCCAAAAAAGACCATTCTTCTGCATCTGTAATCCAATTGAGAAGATATCTGACAATGCTTGCAACATTTGAAAGAATGGTGCACTGAAGATAAGAAGAATTGGCCACATTTGCTTGGCTTTTATAAGAACTTCCAACTAATGTGGTTATCTTTCCAGCTTTTGTGGTTTTGTTTTCCTGCTTTTGTTATGCTATAATGTTATTATATGTAACTGAGATGTCTTTAAAATATAAAGTACCAAAGAAGGCTGTAGAGGTGCTAACAAGATTTGGTAGAAGTTGACATAGTAGTATTACCACTAGACACCCCTGAGGACAGCTTGGGGAGAGTCTCAATACATCTGTTACAGCAGAATACAGATATTTAGACCTAAAGAAAAATATGGCAAAATTGAGAAAAAAAATTTTTTTCCACAGTTTTGTCTTGTTTGAATTTATGCTCACAACAAACCTACACCAACATTTTCATCTGCTACAGATTTTGGTTCCCAAAGTCATGCCATTTGTGGACACAGCATTTCAGAAAAACAAGGCTATTATGTTTTATGGTATTTCTAGCCAAACCCATTATGTTATAGGTACAGTCCTGTCACTGGGACTGAGAACATGGTGGAGAAAAAGGACATATTATCTAGTACTGCATTAGCATTTATCTGATATGCCCTTTCTTATTTAAAGAGGAGTTTTTTTTCTTAGAAAAAGGGGAAAATGGCAAGAAGTCAAGGGAAATCATAGAACTCAGAATATTTCATATTTAACTCATAGTGAAATGGGAAAAAGGATTATAAAAACCTTGAGTGAGAAAAGTCTTGTTTACTATTCTGCCAAGAGTAATTTTAATATATTTTGCTTTTACCCTCATAAATCAGCCAATAAAATAATAATTATTTC